TTAAAGCCAGCGAGTGGAATGAAGATTGATTGTGTTTTACCTCGTTGCACTCGTTGCATGAAAATGGAGGCCACTCTCCATTCCACGGGTTTCGTCATCCTTTTTAATCCGTCTGCTATCGGAGAGGGAAATCTCAGCACTCGTTTGAATACTCTTCATGAATAAACCATTAGCTGTGCAATCCCGAATGAAAAAAAAACGGGTTGGCTAATGAGGGCGTGATGACTGAAAATATTAGCACTGTTTTGTGCTAAAGGTTGAGCAAAATCATGAGATAAATAAAAGTTAAATGATAAGCAATGCAGGGTCATTTCTGGCTTCTGGTAACATCTCTAATGCTCTGTTATATGACTTTTTCTTTTCCCCCTCTTTCTTCCGCAGCAGCTGCGTGCGCTGCACCCCAGTGCAGCTACCTAAGCACTGTGCTGTGTTCAAAGACTAGATATTCTGGCCGCAGTCTCATTCTAAACATTTCCACGGCATGAAACCCTGGCAGACCTGCTGCTTAATCTCCTCTAAATGCTTTTATTAAGAACTCTAATTGGCCCTCCAGTTCCTCCCCTTCAGGAGTGCTGCAGCCAGCACAAAACGGCTTATCCTGAAACAGGGCCCAGGGTGAGAACACACAGGCTAATGGTTATTACTGTACTGGGCACACCCGAGATAAACTGAGAGAAAGCAATGCCGTACGCTGTGGTTGGCAGAGTATGAAAAACAAGGCATTTCCACAGCTCAAACAGAGATACACACAAATGGAAAGACCACATTGTCATTAGGAGCTTGGCACAAGAAAACAGGCTAAAAGCAAAACAACAATGAAAAATGTTTGCTAGACCTACATAATTATTCATTATATAATTCTTAATGAAATACACTTGCAGCCATCCTTTAAACACACCTCGCTTTCATCTCTGCAAATTACATATTCAAAACCTTTTATAATATGTGGTAATCAAAAGAAAATCTAATCAGTGCTTTTCTTTCTTCAACTTGACAACCCATTGTGTATATTAGAGTCTTCTTTTTCCTTAGATTTTCTTTTTTTATTGTTTTGCTGGTTGGCACTGCATGATGAACACGTCCAAAAAGAGATTGTGCTGCTTAAAAAATAATGAGGCAACAAACATGGCAGGTGCGACTGATTCCACAGTTTTACTGCATGAGGGGATTATCAAAGGATTATCTTCTACCAACTATGCAGCAAGGTTGAAAAAGGTGCTTTTATATGTTGTACCAAACAAAGCAGGGAAGTGATGCTGAGGACTGCACTTGAGCAAGCATACGGATGGCAATAATCAGCACGCTGTGGAATGAATATGACATACGACCAAGAAAAGTTCCGGAAATTTGACATTAAAAAAAGTTCAAAGAATCTTTTAGAAGAAAACCCTCTGAACCGAAGTGTTCCTTTTATGCGAGAATATTTCTAAGTGAGCTGAAGAACTGACACTTACTAATACAGCATATGACATAAGACATGACTGAATAAAAGAAGGAAGTCAAATCAGCTCAAAGACCCAGCAATGTCTGACCACCTGTGTCTATGTCAATCTGAACGGTCACTCACTACTTTTCACTTGAAGATAGAAGTGAGAATCCTCCAAACCACCAATGAAAACATTACCCATCAGCGACGACATCCAGGTGAGACATGATGAGGTTGGCATGCTGGTGGTATTCCTATGAGCTTGGTGTTCCTCAGCCTGGGCATCGATCTGGTCCACCTCTCTCTGGCCCAAGATGAGCAGGATGATAATGAATGGTGACACAACACTGTGAGATGGAAGTTTATTGATCAACCCAATGAGTGCTGATTACAGGGGCAAGACCTTCTTTCTGCTCTCCTGCCGGATCACTCTTACCCTCTGCTCCCTTCCACCTCCACACGCCCACCTGTTTAATGCCTTACTGTAAAAATGCATGGCCCCTTTTATAAAAAACTACATGTATAATGTACCTTTAAATACCAATGTCCTCAAAATGCAAATGTGAACTTTGAATTGCTGCACATGTAAATGTTATGTATGTTAATGCAAGTCTGATTAAGAATTCAGCAAAAGTCTCATTAAAAGGGTGGGAGAAGTCATACTATGGGGAACACCTAACTGTGCTGAACTGTTAAAATCCTCATATCGTTGTCATAAGAAAACCTCCACACCAACTTGAAAACTGCCCTTTACGTTACAGGACTCTTCATGATAAATAAACCAACAAATTTCAAAAATAAGGGCAACATGAATGTAAAATAAAATTTCAATTACAGCATACTGCAACCACTTGTACCAAGATAAACAAAGTATAATCATAACATTATTTTGCTCTAAACCTTGGAATTACAACTTTATTATTACTTTAATAGTATTTTAAATGAACAAAAACAAATAATTTTTGGTTAGAAAAGCTTATAAAATTATTAACGCCCCTTACTGCCATTTGTTCGGATGTTGTTTAAAATAAATGTGTGACACTTTCTTAAAGAGATTTTCAGTGCTTTATTGGAGTGTTACGTGCCAGGACAGCACGTATGTGGGTTTTTTTTTGTTCTTTGTCCCCCCCACCCCCCATCCTCTAATCGAAATTGCGGCTGAGTGAATGGGGCGGGTGTTTGAAGATAAAAGGCAGACCCGGCAGCATGTGAAGGGAGGAGAGCATTGTGTGTCTGTGAGGCCTTTAGTTTGCTGGCAGTTTAGTGACTTATGCTGTTATTACTAAAATTGTAGCTCAGTTAGTTTTAGTTCTGCCTAACTTTGTCTCTCTCTCGCTGTCCCTTTCTCTCGCTCACTCTCTTTGTATCTATGTTTCTAGCGCGATGAGTGGACAGGCAGTTTGGGCGTCCCTTTACATATGACGCAGTACTAACACTTTGTATAGACACACTAGGTAAGGAGCGAGTGCCACCCGCTGTATTTTGTGCAGGTTAGCTCCAGTTAGGCAGGTTAGAAGTTTCATTATTTTTACTGCTTTGGCACTGTCCATAGTCCCCCATTGCAGCTAGCTTCATATACAATATTATTATTGTATACTTGTCAGTACTGATAACCAATTTCACTCTTTGATCACATTGAACTTTATAGATTAATTTTGTTAGCCGTTTAACAATTCTTCTTATTGATGTTGTGTAGCTGGATGTCTTATTGTCAACTGTCTTATTCCATTGTCCTTTTTCACTATAAAACCTTAAAAGGTGCTTATGTACACTTTTATTATTAAAAAAGTAAAGCATTGTCTAAGCGTGATACTCCCATTGTCTGTGTCTCTCCCTTCGACCCCTCATCACACACTCCATGTCACTTCCCCTTTACCCCTAGATAACATCATCGGGGCGCGTAACAATGGGATTTCCAGTGCTGTAGTTATGTGTGCATCCATGACAGATTGAAGCTACTGAGATGAAATTTCGAGGCCTCAATTCTGAGCAATGAAACTTGTAGAACCCGGGCCAATCCCACTAGCTCTATTCCTGGGGCGAGGCTGAGCTGAGCTGAAGCAGATTTTGAAGAATGGTCGAATGAAAGACAATTGACCCTATACACACTTTTGGATTCGCAGCAGTAGTTGTCTGAGGAGGAAAAGCATTATAGAAGTGGTGGAATATATGAAGGAAAATTTAAACATTTAACTAATTTTTCCATGAAAATGTTATTTGTTTGTTGGAGCAGTTTTCATTTTCAAGAAAGATCAAGCTTGACAAGGGCTACATTAGAACTAGGCCACTGACACATGCTGTTCTGGCACTGGATGGGTAAGCGTTACAGATTCTGCTCAAACACTAAAGTTATTAAAAATGATCATGTTGGTTAGCTTAGCTTACATAGGAACACTACAACCTGAACATTTATAACATTTCATATTGTACAATACAACATTAATATTAGATGGAGAAATGTATGGTTAAAGCTACATTATGTAAGTTATCAGGATTTGGAGACCTCTCTGGTGAAAATGTGTTATTGCACAAAACATGCAGAAAGAACATTTTGTAACATCAGTTGTGCTTCAGAATCTTTCCCCAAATGAATAAATTAGATTATTGTGAACTCAGTCAAACCTTGGTGAACAACATATAACAATTATAATGCTGAAATTGCGTTTAAGACCCAGATACGGAGACGGACCTTCCCTTCGAGCCTGCATGTGACATTAATACATAAAGATGTATGATGTGGTCTGAAAAACTCCCACAAATACAACTTGACTCCTCCAACTTATTAAATTATTATTTCAGGCTTTACAGGGTGACTTGCAGCAGTCCACACAGATAATATTTTAGGAGAGTTTTTTTTCCTGACTTAGTAATGCTACTCCTTTCAATTTTAACCAAAAAATCTTACATAGTGCAGCTTTGAATCATGCAATACAGCCATAAGACAATGAGGTATAAATGACTATGTTAATTTTACAATCCCAACCTGCACAACACTGATTACATTCTTGTCAATATTAGACAGCTAATGCTAGTTGACCTCATTAGGTAACCTTACACTCATGTAGATCAAGCTTGCTTCTCTCAGAAAATGAAAACTGCTCCATCAAATGAATGTCTTTCATGAGGAAATTATATAAGTACCTTAAAGAGGATGTAAAAATTCTCATCCTCTACATTCTTATCCTTAAACGCTGCCATTGCTATAATGTTTTCTCTACTATGACAACATCCACTGTGCAGATGTGTGAAAAGGCTCTATTATAAAATACATTTACTAAGAGAGCACTTGTTAAGTCTGAGGACAAATTGTGGGGGCTAAAGCTTATCTGGGGTCTCTCTGTGCACAGGTTGTTTAATTCTAAGAAGCATCCCATGGATATTTACTCTTTATACCTTACCAAATGTTAAGACAGTTAAGAAGTGATTGTTTTGGAGATTTTCTTATGACAGTGACAGCACATTGGCACTGCAGTGAGCACTCACAGCTTGTACTCCCTAATTAGCAGCTCTGGAGTGTGGGTCATTGAACAGACATGTGTAAGCTGGCTGTGGCCAGGGTGTGTGTGAGGCTCACCAGTGGTGGAAGAGATGTTAACATCGATGCTGATCTCCGGGATGCCCCCGCCACGAAGCGACGCCACGCAGGTGTAGGTGCCAAAGTCAGTGAACTTCAGATCAATGATGTCCAGGTTGGTGGTGCCTGGGGAGATGTCAGGGTCAGTCTGGGTGATGACCATGCGCTCGGAGCTGCGCAGAGCCCGGCCGTTCTTCAGCCAGCTGAACATCAGTTCCTCAGGGGGTGTGGCCTCCACCTGGCATGATATCTTCACCTCACGGCCAATCTGAATGTTGTCATCGTTGTGGTATGGATCAGGCGTGATCCAGAAACGGCCCTTCTTCAGCGCTAAAATGAGAAAAAAAAACATCAGACACCAGCAGCCAGGATGAGCCTTGGGAATGCTTTGGCAATGTTTTTTTTTATTTTGGAGCTCTAACGCCTCACAAACTTATTTTTGCAATTGGCAAGCATCAACAGGGCAATGACTCATGTTTATAAAGGGAATCTGTCTAAAAATGAGCTTCAGTGAAATGGATTCGAACTTTACTGCCAAGAAATACAGCACTGTGAAGAAGTCGGCGACCACCCTTCATTTATTTAATCCCCATCAAAACGGTCATTAAGGAGGTTTTTCATTTTTCAGCATTAAGGCAACAAACAAACAAACATATATTTTAGGAATGCACTGAAGTGGGAATTGTGGGCCGATGCTGACACTAACACAAAAACATATATAAAATGTAGAAATTGTAATATAACAACAATAATTATAATAATTAAAGTTAGTTTGTTACCAGCTAAGAGAAATTTCCTCAGTCTGAAAGAGATTTTTACTCTCAGCTATAGAGTTTTCATTAGAGATAAATATAACATTTCTATAGGGTTACAAATGCTGTAACATTAATAAAATGCAGATATTTTACTGCAGTAGCCCAGTATTTTAATTAACTGTCTGCTGATACTAGCATGATTCCATGCATCATTAATACATTTAACAGAAAATTACACAGAGGTCCATTCTTTTCGGGAGTCTTGCTTTCAGTTTTTCAAAGAAATCTGCAGGGATGTTTTTCCACACCTCCAAAGTTCGGTTTTAGAAGTCGGTCTCATTTTATGCTTCCCACAATCCAAGTAATTCCACACACACTCAATAATGTTGAGGTCTGGTGGTCAGTCCATTGTTTTAAGAACACCAGCAGTGTGATTAGCAAATTTCCATCTTTTTTGTGCATTTGTGTGTTACAGCGTCTTGGCAGCTACACATCCTTTCAGACTCATGGTGCTGAGTTGTCTTCTCACAGTACAAGGATTGACAGAAACACCTGAGGATCTTTTCAGATATGAAGCAAAAGTGGACCTTGATTTTCTCCTCTCTCTTAAAGATGAAAGCTCTAAGTACTGTTCATCCTGTTTATGTTGCCAGTTTTGGTGGTCTACCTGGGTCTGTTGTTATGAGCCCTCTATATCTTTTAATGCTATTTTTTTATTCTAGTTTTAGAAACTCCTCTTTTTCAACTTTTCTTATGCAAGGGGATTATCTTCTATCTACCCAGAAATATGTCCTAAAAATTGAATAAAAATAAATGTACTTGAGTGGCTGTTTTGACTGGAAATTAAATACATTAAGGGTGGTCTCTGACTTTTGCACCATACTGTATACTTGCCGTTCTATCCTAATCAACATCAAATACTGTCTGCCACTGACAATTTCTTTTATTAAAAAATCTCCCAAAGTAAATATAGCAACTATAGCACCCAACTCATCAACAATAAAAAATTCACGGCACCTGTATAGACACATGGCATCTTTCATGTTAGGTTTAGTAACTGTGTGCTTGTTTTTCAGCCACATCAATCTAGATTCATTCTTTATGCAGGCAGTTTATACACTTCAGATGAAGGAGTCACATTTTATCTCACAAGCAAAAGAACAGTGAGAACCAGGAATCTTTTTACCTATTCTCCTGGGACATTATCAGGTTGAAACAAGGAGATGAGAAAAAAGAAATTGTAAAATAAAAGTGCCCTGTCAGATTCAAATACAGGAAATTGAAAAAGCAAAACGTGGGGAGAAACCAGCAAGACAAAAGTGAATGACACATTTCATCAAATGCAATATGAGATCCCGTTTCTTTTGTTTTAAATCAATACCACCCTGCCATGGATCTGATGTCTGAGGCATGTTGTAATAATGTCGACATGTTTCTACAGAAGACTTCAATTTGTATGAGTAATTCATTTTCACCTGGGTCCCCGGATACAAAATGGTGCCAATGAACTGTAATACCACGGACGACAATGACCTTTTTCAAATCAAATAAGAGGAATCTGAGACTCTTGCCACTTAATCATGTGTTAGAGGCTGTACCACAGAGAGTTATCACTGAGGCACTGAGGCTACAGAATTTAATTTAGTTCAAAGGAACAATAAATACACCCCTACAATAAGGGAATCAATATCAGCAACAGCAATCATATTTCACAGAACCAACCAGCATTACACTTTACTAATAATTGCAGCACTGAGAACAGGTAAGAAGAAAAAAAAAGGAGCTTTCTGTCTTTTCTAAGTGTTTTCTGTAGTCTTAATGGATTTGGGAGAATCACACAGGACTTTGTATCCAATTATCTTGCATTTTGTAGTTATGATGTACTGCGTCACTGATCTCACTGGCTTAATCACTTAACTATGGATTCAGTTTCTGTCAAATCCCTATTAAATTGGAAATGTGCTGCTAAACTGCCAGACTGCAATACTTTGTGTTATCTCTCTCTGGAATGTTAATGAACCTTCCAAACAAAAGTGAGCTACAAATTCATTGCTAAAACAAAGGTTTCCCCAAAGATCCACCTGTCCATCTAAGAATAATACTGCAAAATGACCTTTTCAAACAATGTGCAAAGCATCCATACCTATCTGCTGGGATGCTCCAAGGCAAGAACCCAATAGGGGGAAAAATGTGGTGAACTTTTCAAACCTGCTTTTCTTTTGAACCTTCTCTAAAGCCCATAACATCCTGAAGGACCTATATCCTGTCACAGGACCCAAGCATCAACACTAATAGCCATCTAGTTATCTGCTCTCAACCACTTGAGCATGCATCCAGTGACTCAGCCTCCAGCAGAACACGGGATGGACGTCAGGCCTGCACTGTTTCCTCATCCATTACTCAGTCACCACCTGCGAATGCATCTCACAGCTGTGCAGCTGTTCCTGATAGCACAGTCCTGAGAAGAAACACAAATGTCCTTTCCCTTTGGGCAACTGTGACCACTTTCAGAAGTGTTGATATTTTAGGCCTATTTCCATAAACAGCACAAAAAGAACTGCACTGAAAAAGTAACACACTGACAGTTGCTAGTTTATTAGGCTTTATTCTACCCTCACTGGCCAGTTTATCAGGCATGAGGGTTTGAGTACTAGAGTTAAAATGGAGCTATTATGCTTTTTCCAGTTTTTCCCTTTCCTTTAGTGTCTTATACAGCTTTTTGTGTACATAAATGGTCTGCAAAGTTACAAATCTCAACATGTAGGGGCAAAACCGCTCTGGTGGTTGACCAATCAGAACAGAGTGGGTGAATGGACCAATCAGAGAACATTATTCAGGCTAATCAGAAGGGGGGGGGGCATAAAAACACAGGAGCTCTAACAGAGCGTTTTAGACAGAAAGTGAATAGAAATGTACAGTCTGAGAAAAATAATGTGTTTTTTGAACACTGAAGCATGTAAATCTATTCTAGTAGACCCCAAAAATAAAAACACTAAACATTGAAAATTAGCATAATAGGTCCCCTTTAAGAGATCTGAAATTGAACTTAGCTGTTCACATTTGGCAAACACTTTTTTGTTAGCAAAGAGTTTTAATTTTAAGCTGCTTGAGCCTAGCCTGCATGTGTTTTTGCACAACAACCAACATGCAACCAAAAATTCACTCATTTGTCTGACAAACTGTTTTGTAATTCTCATATTGTTTTCAGGGCCTAAAACATTCAACAAATGTATTGATGTGTCATGTTTTGCATGCATTATTTTTCACAACATTACACGTTCCGCTTGGTGTGTGTTTGAGTACTGAATCTTTAGTGCATAGCTTGACTATATGTGTGGCGTGATGCGATTACTGTGTCACATTTCAACAATCTGATTGGCCGCTGCTCAGATAATTTAAGTTAATCCAGAATTCAAGAGAATAGAGTAATCAGGGTGTGCAGCGGTGGTTTGATGAATGAGTTTAATGTGTATATTGTCATCTCTCCTTATATTATAGCAGATCATGGCACATTCTATTTGATGGAAATTATCACACAAAATAAAGTGGTCATTTTGCATGACATATACACAGTCGTACATTAATTTTCCAAGCAAAAATAAGCTGACACATCCTCTACAGGGAACAAACTTAAATATGACATTTTGCTGCACATTTAAGTGCACAATATCTATTTATTTACTGAGTTTAAAAAAATATATATGTGCCATAACTGTTGCATAGGTCACATTTATGTTAGATTAAGCAAATGAACAGTAATTGTGCACTAAAGTGTTTAGAAAAGTGTTCTCTATTGAGGATGTGCTAAGTTTTCACTTGACCAGGGGTGCCCAAACATTTGCATGCAACTGTAATTATGCTGCTGAAGATTTCAACACCTGCATCTCAACACACTTTGTGATCAAGTGCAAAGGAAACAAAACCATGTGAGGGTGAAAAAGTGACTGGTGTGCTGGACTTGAACTTGTTTCTATGGTACAAACAGAGCTCAGAAGAGCTGATGACACATCCTCTGATGTCAATGCCTCAGTTTTCTGAAGTGGCTGAATTCTGAGTGAACACTGGACACATTGTTGGTCCAGTGTTGGTCAACTTCAAAGGGGAGGCAGATCAAAGTGAGCATTCTCACTCCAGAGCGAAGGGCAGAGGATCTATCAGGTGACAGACGTTACCACCTCCTGCCCTCCAACACAAGGAGTCATCCGAGTGCATTAAACTTCCATGAACACATGGGAAAAAAACAGCACTTTCCCATTTGGTACATTCAAATGCTCTTGCTGCCAAGATGTTACATCATTTCCCCAGTTCATTCATATCTTATGAGAGTGCAGCATGTTTAGGTTGGGGAGGCTTCATCACAGCTGAGACTCCAGCTGCAGAAGTAGGCCGTGAACCACCGTAACGGGGGTAAGTGGTTTATTAGGTAGTAAGAAAAGCCTACAATAGCAGGAATTTTAGCACCCCATTCAAATGGTACAAGTCAGAAGCCTGGTCTACAAGCAGAGGAGCTAGCTTTAAAAGCATCCACATAGCGCATGCATCAAGGCAGGAAATAAGAGTTAACATAACACAAAC